ATGAATGGTGAAATAATTTTTAAAGAGCAACGAGTATTTAAACTTTAAATTTTCGATTTCCTAAAAAATTTTTAAAAATTATTATAAATACTATTATTAAATTTAAAATTTATTTAATATTAAATTATCATTAAAATTTTAAGTTTAAGTTGTGTTAAATCACAATATGTCATGTGGATCACACCCAAGATATAGAACGTTAGACAAATGACAAAAATAAGGAGAGAAAGATTAAGAGAGGAAATAAAGTGCCACAATAACACTAGTTTTGCAAGGCTAAATTTATTAGTCTTTAAGTGGAGAAATGCCTCCTATTTACAGGTTCGAGGGGTATTTAGTAAAATTACATATTTGTCTCTGTTTTAATAAGGACGTTATAAGTCATCATTACATCTTTTCATGTTTGTAATGGACTCCGACATTTTTTAATATTTATAACTAACATTGACATCATTTCATATTCATACTATGTGAAGAGAGGAATTTAGTGGCCAGTTAATCTTGTCATTCGGTTGGTCGGGTAATCAAGAGGATCTTGAGGCTCCCCTGTTGTTATAGTGAACTTGGGTTCTCAGGCGGAGGGTGTGTAACAATAATCTAACTGGCAGCTCTTCTTAGACAATAAACCTTTTCATAAGATCTGGAAAGTCTTATTTGGGGTGTCTTTCGATCATCTTTGGTAAGAATTAATGAGTCAGCTAAGGGAGTCTGTCATGAACGACTGTCCTGCGAAAAGTGTCTTCTAGTCGTTCATTCGGCTGTGATTCCGTTCGATCGGCTCGTAGTTCCGTTCGAAGCAAATGAGATTCGGTATTTCTGTCTTTTGACAATCTCGATACATTGTCATTTAGTGTTCGTAATTGAGACCCGTTAAATTTTCTCGAGATTCACGCGGTCATATTTTTTATGTACATGTAGTATAATTTTTCAATATAATACATAGAATTAAAGAATTTAATGAAAATTTTTACGTGATATTTCTTGCCGTGTGTCATTAACTTTACGTTAGATATTAATTTAAATAAGTAGAAACAGACGAAAACAACTATTCATGATATAACTAAATTATTAGACATTAGCAATATTTTTTTTAACAATTACGCTTATAACAATCTAATCATTTATTTGCATTAGTTATATAACCTGGTAATTTAGATACATCTATTTACTACAACAACAACAACAATAAAAACCTTAATCCCACTACGTGGGGTCGGCTACATGAATCATTTTTCTCCACTGCGTCCTATTTATTGTCATATTTTCATCTAGTTTTAGTAAATTAAGATCACTTTTTATACAATAAGCCCAAGTTTTCCTAAGTCTACCTCTGTCTTTCTCAACACAAATCGAATCTAAAACATCTACTCTCCTAA